CCGAATGACCCTCTCCTACAGGACCTCAACCCACAGAAGTCCTTTCCCACAACAGGACTCACTCCAACAGGACTCACCCACCTGGTCTACCAATACAGGAGTCTCTCGTCCCACAGTCTCCCACACTATAAGATTCCCTCTCCACATATGGGACTCCCTTCCCTCACCCATACTGACTCTCTCCTCCCCCAACAGGGACTCTCTCCACTCCCCCATACAGGATCTCTCCTCCCCCATACAGGACTCTCTCCTCCCCCATAAGACTCTCTCCCTCCCCCATACAGGACTCCCCCCCCATACAGGACTCTCTCCCTCCCCCATACAGGACTCTCTCCCTCCCCCATACAGACTCTCTCCCTCCCCCATACAGGACTCTCTCCCTCCCCCATACAGGACTCTCTCCCTCTCCTCATACAGGACTCTCTCCCTCCCCCATATACAGGACTCTCTCCCTCCCCCCATCTACAGGACTCTCTCCCTCCCCATACAGGGACTCTCTCCTCCCCCATACAGGACTCTCTCCCTCCCCATACAGGACTCTCTCCCTTCCCCCATACAGGACTCTCTCCCTCCCCCATACAGGACTCTCTCCTCCCCATACAGGACTCTCTCCCTCCCCATACAGGACTCTCTCCCTCCCCCATACAGACTCTCTCCCTCCCCCATACAGGACTCTCTCCCTCCCATACAGGACTCTCTCCCTCCCCCATACAGGACTCTCTCCCTCCCCCATACAGACTCTCTCCCTCCCCCATACAGGACTCTCTCCCTCCCCATACAGGACTCTCTCCTCCCCCATACAGGACTCTCCCTCCCCCATACAGGGACTCTCTCCCTCCCCCATACAGGACTCTCTCCCTCCCCCATACAGGACTCTCTTCCCTCCCCTCATACAGGACTCTCTCCCTCCCCCATACAGGACTCTCTCCCTCCCCAGACAGGACTCTCTCCCTTCCCCCATACAGGACTCTCTCCTCCCCCATCAGGACTCTCTCATACAGGACTCTCTCCCTCCCCATACAGGACTCTCTCCCTCCCCCATCTCTCCCATACAGGACTCTCTCCTCCCCCATACAGGACTCTCTCCTCCCCCATACAGGACTCTCTCATACAGGACTCTCTCCTCCCCCATACAGGACTCTCTCCCTCCCCCATACAGGACTCTCTCCCTCCCCCATACAGGACTCTCTCCCTCCCCCAGACAGGACTCTCTCCCTCCCCCATACAGGACTCTCTCCCTCCCCAACAGGACTCTCTCCCTCCCCAGACTCTCTCCCTCCCCCAGACAGGACTCTCTCCCTCCCCCATACAGGACTCTCATACAGGACTCTCTCCCTCCCCCAGGACTCTCTCCCTCCCCCATCAGGACTCTCTCCTCCCCCAGACAGGACTCTCTCCCTCCCCCATACAGGACTCTCTCCGGACTCTCTCCCCTCCCCCAATACAGGACTCTCTCCCTCCCCCATACAGGACTCTCTCCCTCCCATACAGGACTCTCTCCCTCCCCCATACAGGACTCTCTCCCTCCCCCAGGACTCTCTCCCTCCCCCATACAGGACTCCCCCCCCCCCCCCCATACAGGACTCTCTCCCTCTTTCTACGGAACTTTCCACCGGAAGCTGTCGTTGATTAGAGCAGGTCACTCCATCGGCCAACTCCCCGCCCCTACCCTTCTACCCCCCCCCCCCCATGTCGCTCGCTTACCCTCGAGATGCGTCCGGTTATCACGCTGTAACGTCGGTTGCCGGTTCATTCGTTTTTTTTCGTTTTTTCGTTTTTTCTCTCGTTTCCGTTTTTATTCGTTTCCGTGTTTATTCGTTTGTTAGGGTTTTTTTTCTCTCTCTCGTTCGATTTGGTTGCCGTTTCATTCGTTTTTTTTTCTTTTTTTCGTGTTTATTGTTTTGTTATTTTTTTCTCTCTCTCATTCGATTTGGTTGCCGTTTCATTGTTGTTGTTTTTACTAATTTCTGTGTTTATTCATTTCCGTTTATTCGTTTTTTTTTTCTTTTTTGTGTTATTGTTTTGTTATTTTTTTTCTCTCTCATTCGATTTTTTTTTCTCTTTTTTTTCTTATGCGAGTTTCGTTATATTCTGTTTTTATTTTCATTTTTTTTTTTCGTTTTTTTATTCGGTTTCTAAGTCGTTTCAAATTTATATATTTTTTCATTAGCTGGTCTTTCTCTCCTATTCGTTTTTATCACCTTTCTCATGCATGTCATTCCTTCCTTTTGTTTTTCTGTCTCATTCTCATTTCTCCTTTTACTATTTTTTTTCTTTCTTTCTCTTGCGTTTCTCATTATTCTCATCCGTCTGTCTATCCTTCATTTCATTTCCCTCATTCGTTTTTTTTTATTATTATTTTTCATCTTCCATTCTCTCTCGTTCGTTTCTCATGTTTCTCGCATTCGCTTGTCTCATAACTTTCATTTATCTATTTCTGGCTCTATCTCCTTATTTATCTCTCACTTCTTATTTCCGTTTCCTTGGCATCGCGTATCTCATTTTTTTCATTTCTTTTCCTTTCGTCTCATTTTTTTTTCTCATTTCTGTCTCTTTCCCCTCATCTCTCTCTTCTTTCTGTCTCTTTATCTATTTATCGCTTTATCTATCTGTGTATCCATCTATCTATCCATCCATTCATCTATCTATCTATCTATCAATTATCTATCTATCTATCTTTGTTACTATTTGCTTGTCCTTTTTCTTATTCGTTATTTCTCTGTCTCGCTTCTTTTATTTTTTTAAAAATCTTTATTATTATTATGATCATTATTATTCACTTGTCCTTCTCTCTCCGTTTGTCTTCCCACCTCATTCGCTAGCAATTTTTCTTATTTTTCTTTCTTTTCTTTGTGATTGGAGGAGAAAATGAAGATAGAAAGAGGGAAGTAGCAAGAGGAAGAGAAATGGGGAGAGAGACAGAGGAAGAGAAATGGGGAGAAAGACAGAGGAAGAAGAGATGTAAAGAAGAAGGGGGAGAAACAGGACATGTAAGAGAGAGAGAGAAAGGTGGGGGGAGGGAAAGAGATAGATAGATGGATAGATTGATAGATAGATAAATGGATGGATAGATGGATAGATGGAGAGAGAGAGAGAGAGAGAGAGAGAGAGAGAGAGAGAGAGAGAGAGAGAGAGAGAGAGAGAGAGAGAGAGAGAGAGAGAGAGAGAGAGAGAGAGAGAGAGAGAGAGAGAGAGAGAGAGAGAGAGAGAGAGAGAGAGAGAGAGAGAGAGAGAGAGAGAGAGAGAGAGAGAGAGAGAGAGAGAGAGAGAGAGAGAGAAGAGAGAGAGAGAAAGATAGATAGAGAGAAAGATAGATAGAGAGATAGATAGATAGATAGAGAGAGACCAATACACCCGATTGGGAGAACAAAACAAAACAAATAGAAAAAAAAGAACAAACGAAAAAAAAACGAAAACAATCACAGGAGAAAAGAATAAATAGGAATAACGATAGAAAGAACGAAAATGATCAGAAGACGAAGGCAGGAGACCGAGAAAACGAGAAGTAAAAAACCGCCAAAAGCATCCAACCACAGCCTCGAGACATGCAATTCCTTCCCGCCTTTTTTGTTGTTAAAAGGTGCACATAGATGGCGCCACGGTCATGTACATACATCTTTGGAATTTTGGATTTTTGATTATTATTATTTGATTTGTACATCTTTGGAATGTTCGTTTATTTAGGTCATAAGTTCATAAAAGAG